TGTGATTTCCCATAGTGAAGTTGTCATTTGGCAATAGTGAGTTATAATTTTGTATATTGAACTTGTCATTTGGTATAATGAACTTATCATTTGCCATTCGTGAGTTGTGATTTGGTTTACTGAACTTGTTATCTACCATACGTGAGTTGTGATTTTGTTTACTAAACTTCTCATTCAGTATAATGAACTTGTCATCTGCCATACCTAAGTTGTGATTTTGTTTATTGAACCTGTCATTCCGTATAATGAACTTGTCATCTACCATACCTGAGTTGTGGTTTTTTTTACTGAACCTGTCATTCCGTATAATGAACTTGTCAATATGCCATAGTGAAGGTGTCATTTCCCATAGTAAACTTGTTATTCTATATACTTAATTGATTAATGTCTTTTGCATGCAAGAGCTGAAGAAGTTACGCAAGCACCTAATGAAGAGGATACAGGAAGGGCAAAAGATGTTGATGAAAATGGTAGATAAGGAGCTAGTGAAGGTGTAGATCCCAAGACAGGGAGATGGTAGGAAGAGTAAATCAACAGGAAAGAGACAGTGCCTTCAAATATCAGTGAGTCTAAAGATGATGAGGAGGATAGGCGCAACAATAATGACACAATTGAGGAAAAGGAAAAGGATGAAGTAGGCAGTAAAGATGGAGATAGTCATAGGAAGGGTGACATGGAGGATGACAGTGAGAATGAAGAGAAGGAGGAAGAGGGTCAAGGGGATGGTGATGACATGAGCAAAGGGGACAAGGAACACAAGGGTGATGGGGAGGGTAATGACAAGCATCCACTTGTAATAGAGAGTGCAATACCCACAACTAGTTCCCCTATAGAAGTGCTACCCAATGTTGACGGTTATGATGGGGAGGGTGACATACTTGCAGCTAATTCCCCCATGGAAGTTCCAGGCAACGTTGTTGGTGATGATACAGAGGGTGACATACCTACAGCCAGTTCGCCTAGAAAAGTGTCACCTAACATTGAAAGTGATGATGTAGAGGGTTACTCATTGATAGAGGTATCCCCTCTGGCCATTGCTGAATACGTTGGGCCTAATCCAGATCCTGTATCTGTGGAGGCACAATAACTAAGGAGATCTACTAGGGTTTGGTTTAGCAAGATCAAGTCTCCTTGGTTGGAGTTGAAGGCACAATCAAGAATGAAGAGGCCTATGGAGCCTAAGGATTTTTTTTTTCAACTTAGTTAGTCAAGCCGTCAAAGCTGATGAGGGCGAGATGTAAGTGAAAATCTTAGCTTATGTGATGTTATTTGTTGACTACATGTTAACATAACACATCTGGTAACTCACTTGAATATGTTTTAGTCCTTTGATCAGAATGTTTGATGAAGACATCCCCCGACAATTATTGTATTTGCTTGGTGGAAATAACAGGGTGAGTAACCGGTGTTGGAATGGCTGAACACCCAAGAGGGGGGTGAATTGGGTGTTGATTAAAATTAAAAATCTTTTCGCAATGTAATGAAATTCATTAGAAATTCTGAGTATAAAAAACAGTGAATCGAGATAAGCATAATCACAGTAGTAAAATGGTTTAGCTGGAAATATAAAGAGGTAAGGGAAGAGAAGATGCAAACAGTGATTTATCTTGGTTCGGTCCTCACTGACCTACGTCCAGTCCCCAGGCTTCCCCTGAGATTTTCAATCGACTATCTCCCTAAAGTTTAACACGGGTACTTGAGAACCACTACAATCACAAGTTTGATCCGGGCACTTGTGACGCCACTTACAATTCTTAGACTAACCAGTCTATTCAGCAGCAACCTCACACCGAGGTAAATACTCCCCCTTACACACCATAAGGATACAATCTAGCAATGATAAAGAAAATTGAATATTTCTTCTCTCAAAGAAGTGATAGATGAAACTTAAGCACGTTTGGAAAACTCTCCTCTCTATCTCACGAATACATATGTTTTAGTCTATGAAGTACAGAGACAGGGAGTTTTCTCTCGGAGCTCTAAATGAGAATATGTTGATTTGGCATTTTAGCATTTGATGTTGTAAGCTCAGGCTCTTCTGTTCTCTTTGTTTTGAATGCTCTTCTATTTATAGATGATGTTGGGTACTTGACCGTTGAGCATTTTCTTCCCGTTTGGCTCGGAGAATATGACCGTTGAAACTAGCCGTTGGAAGATTCTGACAAAAGTTGATTCTTCATATTATAAATACTTTTTGGCTCTTTACCTGAAATAATCTTCCTCAAATCAAGTGATAAGTATCTGATAATCTTAGAAACTATAAGTTGGAAAACATAGAATCAATCATCAGATATTTAGATATTCAGAACGTAAGATGAACTTACTTGATCGATGTCTTGATCGATAAAGCTTTGATCGATCAAGTTATCAATTAATTATATGAAGAAAAGATATAGCAGATATATGCAATTATCGAACAGATTATGGATCATGTGATGATCGAAGAAATGATCGATAAATGATGAAACATGAACACAGTGAACTCCGAATGAAATATGCAAGGTTAATCCCTTTCAAGTTTCGTTTGCCTTCGTGTCTTTTTGATAAAGAGGTATATGTTAAAAGAAGGCTGAGAAAAGCTTGAAAGAAAATAGATCATTGATTTTAAGAATCATCATAGTCGACTGATGTTTAAACGGAAAACGTTCCATGATCGAACACTTGTTGATCGAACAGATTATCAATAATCCAAATGTTACAGAAATGAAACTTCAGTCATTGATGATCGAACAAATTATCGATAAATGGATGATGGATAAGGTTATCGATAAACAATGAGTAAGAATATATTTAGCGAAAAACACAGACTATGTGGATTAATCAAACAGGTGATCGATCAATGAATATTCGATCAAGTGATCAATAAAATGAAAAATAGAGATTTAATCCTGTAAGGTAAAGAAATTGATTATCTATCACGTTATGTGAAAACAGGAGTTTCAGGAAATCGGATGATCGATCATTTTATCGATAAATCAATGATCGATTAGGTGATCGAAAAAATGATTCAACACAAGTTAATGCAGTGAAGATAATAATCGATCATTTGATCGATAAATGTTTGATCGATCAATTGATCGATAAAAGATTTTGAACGAATGGTTTTGACAGAGCACTATATCGAGTAAGAAGACATGTAATATTCGAACAAGTTATCGATAAAGGTCTGATCGATTAAGTGATCGATTATTTCCTGCAACATCTTATATTAAGCAGCTATACCAATGATCGATTAGTTGATCGATCAATCTAGCAAGTTATTGAGCAAACTAAATTATCTATCACGTGATCGATAAAACTTGACAGTTATCGATCAAGTGATCGATAAACATATTCATCTATAACGTTATCCAAAAATCATTTATCCAACATGTTACTGATAAAACCTTAATAATATGTATGAAGATAAAAGAGAAGAATTGAGGAGATAGTACCAGTAACTCGATGAGTATGTAGTCGCTTGATCAGGCTCGAGTAACATATGATAATGGCTTTTCATTTCTTCATCTCTTCTAGAGCTTTTACTCAATAACATGTTTGAGTAGCATGTTGCTTAAGAGCTTAATCAATCTATGTAGAACTTCTGGTTTTTACCTCAATAATTTCAAATTCTGATTTAAGCAAAACGAAGGTTAACTTTGAGTGATCATAAATCTTCCAATTCAGCTCTAAATTTTGCAAATAACCTATCCCCAGAAATCTCTTTGAGTTTACTTTCTAATGCAACAAGAATCACCCCAAAATTCGTTGTGGTTACAAAGTTATCTTCATCACAATGACTAAAGGTCGGAATAAAGGCGTTAATCCTTACTGCAATCTTTCGAACAATATATCTCCCTCATATGAAACTCTTTGAAGGTGAATTTAGTGTCCATGAACCGTGTTCTGAGTCTAGTTTCATAGGAATCAAGTTTCACCTCAAACGGATTTGTGATTTGAGAGATATTGAAGAAATACCAAACCTATATCAAAGCTGAATGAAGAACAGAGCATAACAGAGGATGTATTTTATCGATAACTTGATCGATAAATGGATGATCGATCAAGTGATCGATAATTGCCCATGAAAATCACCTCTGAAGCTTATTTTCCATGTTTATATGAAGGGTGACTCAATATATGATGATATAACTTCCCGGTTGTATATTTTAGCTTCCGACTGAGCCATTCAAACTTCTGATTGAGTATAGCAACATTTAACATCAAATCTATGAACTTGAATCTTGATATTTTCATTTGATCTTGCAAGTTCTTCTTTTCTCAATCTCTCTTCTTCTTCTTCCTCTTGATCATTCTCCATAACTCAAAGTGCAACATAATAACTCCTTTCTTTTCTTGAGGAAACTACACAAGATATTAAGTATGATAGTTAGTCAAAATATGAGATAAATAATTTATGTAAACTTTTTGCTCTATTATTTGACATCATCAAAACTAATCATATCTAACAACCGGGTGATGTCATTGGTCTGTAAGGCTTTGGTGCAAGAGCAGCAGGCAGTTAAAGGGGGAGTTAGGAGGCATATATTTGACGCAGATTTCATGGTGAGGTTTCTATATTACTAATATGCTTTGTTGATTTAGAAGATTGCAAATGGAAATGACAGAACAAAGTGTGTTACAGTAAATAACAACTTGGTTTTGCGCATTTCAAAGGCCATAATGATTCGTGATCCAGGTCATTAAGATCCTAACCAGCATGCATGACAAATACTTCCGCATTACGTTGGCTACAACATAGGTGATTGCGACTTGATTCTGGGCCCTACTCTAGTCAGGGAGCATTGGTTCTGTTTTGTATTCAAACCAAAAACCTAGAAGTTCAATGTCCTCAACTCTATGGGTGCAAGTTTAGAGCATAAGAAGACCATCTCCAAGCAGAAGAAGGTAGCCACATATGACCCTCAAAAATTAGCCATCACAGGCTGTGTAAGATGTTCCTGACCTGTGCATGTTAGATAGGAAAATGATAGTTTTATATTATTATCCTTTTGATGAATATGGCATATGTGCAAAGGAATCGGTTTGAAGACATACTTCAGATGGTCAGACCAGATTTGAGTAATGAGTTGGAAATTGTCAGGCCTAATGTACCGCAGCAAAATAATTTGTGAGTGTATATACCCTACTCATGTGATATGTTATTTGGCTGTGTTGATTTGAGGAGTTGAAACTGTTAGGGTGTTGTTGTGGGCAGGAGAGACTGTGGTGTGCCTATGCTCATATGGCTTGGGAAATGGGAGCTTCACGTTCCCCTTCAATACACCAAGGTATTGACATGACCTTATTTATTGTGCAATCAAGAGTGATCACATGTGACTTGTTTGGTGGTAAACTTGCTGTGCATACTGATGTGTCCTCTTTTTGGCACGAGTTGATGCGGTGGCTGGTGAACCATAATAACAATGAATGCTGTCAGAATGCGTACGATCTTATCTCACAACCAGAGAAGGGCCGAATGACCAAGAAGAAGAGAAAGTCTTTGTAGAGAGCATTTAAACTAGGCTATGTGACTTTTACTAACTTTGTCAATGGATTCATTTGCTGAAATTGTGTATCAATTATTGTAATGGTTATGATATGGTTGGATTGATGGTATAACAGTACTTATATTTGGAATGACAAATTTCCCTTTAGTCTGGCCAATGACAAGTTTACTAAGGGCAACAATAAGTTCATTATGGCCAATGACAACTTGTGAAAGGGTTTTCATACAAATTTGAGATTTTGTATTAAAAGTGGCTAAATTCGCACACTGATTCACTGAATGACAGGTTGATAAAAGGAAAATGACAAAGCTGACAATGGCAAACGACTAGTTCCCAAGATGTTTTCATGTAAGGGAAAATTTCTGTTGAAATTAGTGGATTTCCACTTCTGATAATCACGAAATGACAAGTTCACTACGGAAATTGACAAGTTGACTTACAAAATTTACAAGTTCCAATAAGGTTTTCATGAAACTGAAATTTTCTATTCAAATGACTGTATTTCTACTTTTGATAATCACAGGATGACAAGTTCACTAAGGAAATTGACAAGTTGACTTACAAAAATTTACAAGTTTCAATAAGGTTTTCATGAAATCAAAATTTTCTGTTCAAATAAGTGGATTTCCACTTTTGATGATCACGGAATGACAAGTTCACTAAGAAAATTGACAAGTTGACTTACAAAATTTACAAGTTCTAATAAGGTTTTCATGAAACCGAAATTTTCTATTCAAATGAGTGGATTTCCACTCCTGATAATCACGGAATGACAAGTTCACTAAGAAAATTGACAAGTTGACTAACAAAATTTACAAGTTCCAATAAGGTTTTCATGAAACCGAAATTTTCTGTTCAAATGACTGCATTTCTACTTCTGATAATCACAGAACGACAAGTTCACTAAGGAAATTGACAAGTTGACTTACAAAAATTTACAAGTTTCAACAAGGTTTTCATGAAATCAAAATTTTCTGTTCAAATAAGTGGATTTCCACTTCTGATGATCACGGAATGACAAGTTCACTAAGAAAATTGACAAGTTGACTCGCAAAATTTACAAGCTCTAATAAGGTTTTCATGAAACCGAAATTTTCTATTCAAATAAGTGAATTTCCACTCCTCGTAATCACGGAATGACAAGTTCATCGAGGAAATTGACAAGTTGACTAACAAAATTTACAAGTTCCAATAAGGTTTTCATGAAACCGAAATTTTCTGTTCAAATGACTGCATTTCTACTTCTGATAATCACAGAACGACAAGTTCACTAAGGAAATTGACAAGTTGACTTACAAAAATTTACAAGTTTCAACAAGGTTTTCATGAAATCAAAATTTTCTGTTCAAATAAGTGGATTTCCACTTCTGATGATCACGGAATGACAAGTTCACTAAGAAAATTGACAAGTTGACTCGCAAAATTTACAAGCTCTAATAAGGTTTTCATGAAACCGAAATTTTCTATTCAAATAAGTGAATTTCCACTCCTAGTAATCACGGAATGACAAGTTTACCGAGGAAATTGACAAGTTGACTTACAAAATTTCCAAGTTCCAATAAGGTTTTCATGAAACTAAAATTTTCTGTTCAAATAAGTGGATTTCCACTTCTGATAATCACGGAATGACAAGTTCACTAAGAAATTAACAAGTTGACTTGTAAACTTTACAAGTTCCAATAAGATTTTCATGAAAACGAAATTTTCTATTCAAATGAGTGGATTTCTACTCCTGATAATCATGGAATGACAAGTTCACTAAGAAAATTGACAAATTGACTTGCAAAATTTACAAAAGTTCCAATAAGGTTTTCATGAAACCAGAATTTTCTGTTCAAATGAGTGGATTTCCACTCCTGATAATCGCAGAATGACAAGTTTACTAAGGAAATTGACAAGTTGACTTACAAAATTTACAAGTTCCAATAAAGTTTTCATGAAACCGAGATTTTCTGTTCAAATGACTGCATTTCTACTCCTGATAAATACGGAATGACAAGTTCACAAATGAAATTGACAAGTTCACTAACAAAAATTACAAGTTCCAATAATGTTTTCATGAAACCGAAAATTTCTGTTGAAATGACTGCATTTCCACTCCTAATAAACATGGAATTACAACTTCAGAAAGGAAAATGATAAGTTCCCAATGGAAAATGACAAGTTCACAGAAGGTTTTGATATGTTTTCATACTTTTGAAGGCTGCGATTACACTGCACATTTTTGACACAGAATTACAACTTGACAAAGCCAAATGACAAGTTTACTATGCCAAATGACAAATTTCTATAGGGTTTTCACACATTTCTTTTTCTGACAACAACCACTTTTGATAAACACAGAATTACGCTTTGCCATTTCTGACAGCAACCACTACTGATAAACACGGAATTACAACTTGATAAAGGCAAATGACAAGTTCCTATAACGTTTTCACACATTTCATTTTCTGACAGCAACCACTTCTGATAAACACGAAATTCCACTTTGCACATGTCTGACAGTAACCACTTCTGATGAACATGAAATTACAAGTTCACAAAAGCAAATGACAACTTAACTATGCAAAATAACAAGAACTAACAAGTTCAGATTTCTTTCACAATAATAATTTCTCTACAACATTCAATGACAGGTGCACATTAACTTGCATCTTCCACTTAATGTCCCTTTGTCACCAAACATAGAACTAACAAAAATATATATGTGCACATCTACCAACACCTTGCTCCAAAAAAAAATTAAGAAGGATGAACCCTATATGTGCAAAAAAATTAGTTGTCCCATTTGTAAGTGGAAGTCAACTTGGGTTAGGATTTTTGCATGTCCTCTTTCTATGTACAGGATGAAGACATCTAGTGCAATGATATATTTTTTTAATTCTGGAATTGTGATTCCTTTCTGTTTCTTCTTGGTCTTCCAGGAGGCGTACCAGTGATCGGGGGTGAAAGCAAGGGTTGGATAGTAAGATTCTCAAGCCTATAGTCATTCAAGTGAGGCATATCAATTGTCACCACTAGAACCATGCTCCAGGCATAGATTTTCTCTTGGGATGAACGTTTGTAACGCTCTTCAACATAATCATAAACATTTCCCCCTATGGTCTTAATGGCTACACAAGCATGTGAGCATGGAATCCCTGACATTTGCCAAGTCCACGGCTGCATTGGTGTAGGCTAAGGTCTACTCTTTGGTGTTCACGTGATGTGCACATGCATATTCTTCCCCCTCCATAATTCTCACAGTACATGTACCTACTAAAATGCACATGCTCCAGCACTTTTGCTTCTATTTTTGGCCCAACGCAATTACTCCACTTAGTCATTGCAACATATGATGTATGCATCTTCCTTGCTACTTTCTCTCGGTGCTCATGGATCATTTGAGCCACGTTATGCTCCTCCCCCTTACCATCCAAACATTAAAAGATTCATCTAAATTAGTTGTTATGTTGTTCCACCTTCTATATGGGAACTTGCTCAATGCCCACCTATCCACATCACCTTGATTAATAACCCACTCATATAACTCATGAGACATGGTTCTGAGATCATCCAACACGTGATCAAACTCATCCGCAAGTCTTGCATTAGCCACTTTATTCAGTATCTTCAAACTCATCCATAAGTCTTGCATAAGCCTTGCATATTATGTCTCCTGGTTCCTAGAAACTTCAACACTATTATTTGTTTCCTTAGGATTCAACCTTTGAGTTTGAGAGAAAGCGAAACAGACCTGAAAGATATGATCGGAATCTTGTGGAAGATGTTCTCAAGGCTATTCCAAAGATTGACAAGATCAGAGTTAGCAGGGAGGAGAGACACCACAAGAATAGGTAAGTGGTTGATTCAATGTTATTTTATATTGAAGTGCCTTAGAACCTTTTCCTTTTGCTGACTTTCTTTGGATTTTCTTATAGAATGAAAGGCTACAAGGCTAAGCTCCTCAAGGAGGCTGCAAGGGAGTTGGAGCAGGGCATCAATTTGGTCAAAGCTCCATCTGTGCTTCAACAGGATCCATCTCTCACTTTGCCAAAGATCAAAGTTCGAGTTTCACAACAGCAAGCTGAGGAAAACCGTCCGATGGAAGAGTGATTGTGGCATTACTGATTTTGTTTTTTTGGGTTTTATGGCATTCACTTAATCTTGTCTTGTACGTCTCTAAGGCTTAAAAGTATGATTCAAATGTATCATTTTTGTTTATCATTACTGCGGATGATATGACTCTGGTGCAATAGTTTTGATAATACCTAGTCGGTTCTCTTGGACATAATATTATTTGATATAGTTAACTCTCATTGATCTATGAGTAAAAGTGTATTCCAAAGATGAAATCTCCCGCAGATGAAGGAATTTACCGCGTCATGACAGTTAGATAATGTTTAGGCATGTCTACTTAATGTCAGTAAGATTGTTTTAAAATTTTGGCATGCGTCTAACATTTCCAAGCTTGGAAAGACAATGCGTCATGGTTATCACTTGTCACTCACTTTTTTATTGGACAAAACTCCCAAAAGTCCGTCATGAATGAAGCATTGTCTCCACCATGGATGAAAGATTTCAAACATTGTGCTTCATTTAAGTGAACGAAAAAGTGAGAATCGCACCTAAAGTACTAGTCACGATGCAAAATAAAATAGAGAATCATGACATCACTCTTAGATACTATATTCAGTTCTTAATATAAGATTTAGATGATTAATTTAGAAAATTAAAAAAATTGTTTAAATTAGTTATTTATAATAAATAGGTGTTATCTTTTTTAAAATATTTTTGTTAATTATGTGTATTAGCTAAAACTACTATTTGATATCTTTAACATGAACAACTAACACAATGACTATTTTGGAAAAATAGATAAATATGAAACACAAAGTAGATTGGGATCTTATATTTAAGATCGAATTAAAAGTCAAGCTAGCTTTTATACTACCTTCAGTCCTTAATATAAGACCTTATTGCACTTTTATTTTGATCCTAAATATAAGACCTCAATTCACTTTGTCTCTCATATTTATGTATTTTTTTCAAGATAGTCCTCTCAACAATGGTAGTTATAGCCAATACACTTAATTAGCAAGGATATTTTACAAAAGACAACACATATTTATTACAAATAACTAACTTAACTACTTTCCTTAATCTCCTTAAATTAGTCAATTAACTCTTATAATTAGGACCAGAAGTAGTATTATGGAAAAAAATTTAGTGAAAGAAAAATCCTCAAAACTATTCAAGGTTTTATGACCCGTTTTGTTGGCTCTACACCGCGCAGTGTGGCTTGATGCTAACGTCATTCCTGTCGTTGTTAGCTGCGAGAATTTTAACTGAGAATGCTCAAGCACGAAACCCATGTAGAAACTTTCTTGCCACAAATTTCAAATTTAAAATTACGGGAGAGTTAGACGGTGGTTGCCCTTGGGTTTCCTCATCTGGGATTCTTGGTAAAGAGGATCAAGTTGGCCCTTACGAATAGCTTGATGCATTATTTCCCTTTAACCCTTTGAGCGAAATGCGGCGAAAGGAAAGAAAATCTATGGACCGATCGCGTCGTTTAAGTTGACCATTAATTGAGGAATATCAATTGTTCAACTTTAACTCAATGCAACAAGTGATAAAGCTCCAGTTACATAATTTTCTACTCCTGCTTCAAGGAGTATAAGAAATTTCAATCATGAATAACTGTCAGTTGAACATTCAATCCGTCACTAGATAGTGAATTTATGATTTTTTTTGTTTGTCACAATTCATGATTGATTACAGACATATTGAATAGTAAATTTGAAGAACTCATGAGCATAATTCTGTTGACAGACAAAATGCAGGAAAGGTGACAGAACGGTTACTAGAAAGACCAATAGGAAGAGAAGACTCTAGCTTTAGGAATGAATGATCCACTGTCCCTAATCAATCTAGGGTTTACTCTCTTAGGATTGGTCAATCTTATGGAGTTAACGGTGATAAGCATAGGAGATCACCCTCTCGTGAGTTTACCAATCATCCGTTTGAGGACATAGATGACACTTGCGATGATAATGAAATGAATTTTGATATGGTTCAACTAGTCTCTATCCCCCTAATTTTCTATCTCTTCTCCCTTCATATCCTCCTCAAGTTCTTCATATTCCCCCTCCTTCTGGTGTTATCTCTCCCCTTATTTCTCTGCCAAATCAACCTCTTACGTTCCGTCTCTCCTCCTCTCCAATCATCTCTGTTCTGTTTCCCCATATCTCCCTCTCTGTTTCTGTGACTCTTCCGCAAGTTATCTTCTGTTTGCATTAGAAGTGTATGTGAATGTGTGTTGCATCATCTACCTCACAGCATCTAGCAATTGGCGGGCAATGCGTTTTCTTCTGTTGGAGGAAGTCATCCATATGGCTCTAATGCTGCAAACTGCAGTGACTGCTTTGTCTTCACAGAATATTGCCCCACCATGTCTGGTGTCCAATCCTGCAGATTCATTCACAGAATATCGCTAAATGGGGTAGTGGGTGAAAATGGAATTGTTTCTTTTTTTCTGCTGCCATCGGAATTTCCAGCACTTGAGCAAGAGATAACTTTGAACACCTCTTTGATTGCTTCAGCAACAAGGCATCCAACAATCCTCTGTAGGGAAGTGAACAGATAAACCTGCAAATATTAGGTCACTGAATTAATCCAAGGAACAAAACAAACAAAACGTATGTGGAAGCCACTTTTGTGGACTAGTTTCATCTAATTACAGACAAGTTTGTCAAGCTAAACAAGTAACCAAGTAAAGGGATAGCATGTCCACCTTGCATTGTTCATGAATTATCCATCCATTTCCAAGGTCAATATCCATCATTTTCCTAACTTCTTCAACCTGTCATAATGATGACTTCTCCATAAAATGTCAATATAGGGTCACCAGGGTTAAATGCGGAATTTCAACTGGAAAATATGAAGAAAAAGTCTCGGGAATTTAATGTCACACACACACACACACACACACAAAAGGGCTAGACCTTCTTTTTCCTAGCTGGGGGTTCAGTCCGCAAGACCAAAATTATTCTACCGGTGCCACAAAGCATATGAACGACCCTTTCATTAGTCCATCCCGGCATAAATAACTACTCAAATGAAGTCCATCCAGGGAAGTAACCCTTGTTCAAGAAAAAAAGTTTACTCAACTTACTCTAAATAGAAGCCCTTGAGTATAAATTTCATGGAATTTTTAGTGTGCCTTTTCATCCTCTGCATCACCTGTAGAAAATTGGACACCACAAATAGAACAGTTGTGCAACAGGAAATTAGATTGACCGAAATCTAGATGAAACTGAGCATGGCTCCTCTTCTTATGCTTGATAATCGTCCTTCCTGTAATAATGTATTCGTGTTTTGAACATGATTCAACTGGTGTGCTTTTCTTCGTCTGTTGAATTTCCTCTACATTGTCTTATATTCTTCATTGACCGGGAAATAAAAACAAAAAAGAAAATAAAAACATATATCAGAAGAGGAAACTAATCACTTAAAAAAAAAAAAAAAGTAAGACGCCTTCAGAACAAGAACATCCTGTTTGCTGCGCAATAGGAGAGGCATATATATTTATAAATGGCGGACTTCATTTTAGCTTCTCAAAATTCCTGGTAACTAAACAGATTCTGATAAACTAAAACAGACAAAATAGTTTTCAAATGTAAAATGCGAAAACCGACGATTCTATCAAGGGCATACATTTTTGGATCTAAATGCCTTTACTCATAGGTATTGAAGATATGATGCTCTTTCTTCTCCCAGATTGTCAGCTCGTCATCATCATCGTCGTCTATACCTGAAACTGGGTCAATGGATTTGGGCACTTGAGCAGGAGATTTGAAGAAAGCGCTGATTTTGGACTGCATGGAGGCATTGAGGGTTTTTTTTTACCCAAATATGATAAAAAATTAAAAAATTTTACTCAGATATGACAAGATTAAAAATATTTACTGAAATACTATACCTGAAAATTGTTCAAACCATGAATGAGTTTTAATTTGTACAGAATTTGTTCACATCGATAACGGTTCAACAGGACCCACATCACAAAACAATAGAACTTGTTCAGACAGAGAACGAGTTCAGTAAGACTCAACTCAAAAAGTGAATCCATTTGTCTTCTATTTATACATTTTCCCATACACTCCATGTGCTTCTTTCTTCTTTTTTGACTAGACTCCACATGCTTCTTTTCTTTCAACCACACACAAAGCTACTGCTCACGGACATGGTTAATTTCCTTCTCCAAATATTCCCATCAATATAGGGGTGCAGGGAGTAGTCATTCAAGTGTCCTTAGCTCATGCCTGGCGAGTTTTTTTTTTTTTTGGCATGTGAGTGCATAGTGTACATTCATTATTGTGTATATAATGCATGCAATTTTCTACTCAAATATGCTTTTCTTCTAATTATTTCTCAAGTTCCTATCAAGTTCTCCAACTCTTTTCATTCTTCTTTCCCCTTCCATACTTTCGTTTAGTGAAGTTGGTGGTGTGTGCAGTCGTGCAAATATTATATATGTTTTATTTTAACTAGAAGCTTGATTTTTCTTCTAACTAAGGTACATTCTTTTGATTAAAATTTTTTAAAAAAAAATTTTGTATGTATTTTGCTAAATGATGGATAAGAATTTTATATTTAGTCATTTTCACATATTGAGTTTCTCTTAATTAAAAAATGTAGACATATAATTAATTTTCATATAAAATAAATTATAGTTAAATTTTTTATAATCTGATTAAATGTATATATATATTTTTCTTGAGTAGATAGTGTTTGAGTAAATATATAGTCAGATTAAATATGTGTCCAGTTAGATAGTATTTGGTTGAGAGCTTACTCTGGTCTTCTATCTGACCAGAAAACTAGTACTAAATAGCGTCAAAATTTTCCCGATAAAAAGAATACTAGTGATAGGATTAATAATGATGAAAGAAAGGAGTTTCTTTTTAATTTTTTGAAAAAATTAGAGAGAAAGATCTAGAAAAAGTAATACTCCTCCGGTCCTTAATATAGGATCCAATTCTTGAGTTGGTTTTGGTCCTAAATATAAGACCCATTTGTCATATTTATCGATTTTCTCTAAATTATCCCTATGGATACTCCCTCAAC